TTCTTGTTCATATTTACAGAGGATCATAAAGAGTTAGAATAATGAAATATTCTGTGGGATAGTTTAAACATCTTTAATGGATCGTATCATGGTACTGTATTTTTCAGTCTATATTTTAATTTTCAGTCTGTTTTTCCTCTTTGTAAGAACCACAGAAGTAGATCATTCCTCATGCATACACCTTAAGAGATCCCCAGGAAAGGGTAGGTATCTTCATGAAATGTACAATGATAATGTAAATTTGTTGTTTGATACTGTAAATTTTCTTGCAAGAGTCTTCCTAACTAGCCATTTTCATGTAGTTATTAGCCTTTGTGGTGTCTGAGTGTCTTCTATGTAAGTATATTTAATATTCACAGTTTTCTTCTCTCTCTTCAGCAGGAAAATAATTAGAAGTGATTGTTAGGATTAACAAATGTTAATTGTGTACAAAAATCCAGTATGTTTCTATTTTTGAGGCACATGGCAAGGACAAATACAATATTTTACAGTATCAGAATACTATACAACGAAACTATGAGAATTAGTTATAATCTGAGAAAGATAACATCTAAGGCCAACAATGCAAAATAAGAATTATAACACAGACTCACACTAACAGATTTAAAAAAAAAAAAAAAAAGAAAATGCATCTTTAAAACTGCTGGCATTAAAAGCTACACTTAATTGTGGACCCAAGTAGTAAAAATAATCTGTTACCAAATTAATGATATCAAGACATTGGAAAAAAAGTATTTTTACTTAACAGAAAAAGTTAAAACTACATTGAAACATTTTTTTATGGAGGAGAAAAATTATTTTCTAAAATAAAAAAACCCTTATTTTAAAACTAAAATGCCAATGATATAGTGCTAATTTGTAAAATATTTAATTGAAAATATGGTACTTTTTACTGTTGTTTTGAAATGAGCATCATTTCTGCACCCTACGCTTGAGAATATTCATAGGGTACCATCCACTAATATTACCAACCATTTGCACAGTTGAGTAATCACTTCTTTTTTTAGTGACTTGATACATTCCAAGATCAAGGGTTGCAGACAGATGAACACCACAAATGTTCCAGCTGACCTCACTTTCCAAAATGCATCATTCCTACAAATAAACGTCATTAAACGTAAGTGGGCAGTCATATTACAGAATTAAAACATAATCCTGCGTTACTCAAGCAAGTAGTTGCTTATTAGCAGGTCTACTGACTCCAGGAAAACTATTTACTTAACTAAAGATTTCTGGGGTTGTACTTTTGGGACATACTCCAAAGCCTTTTAAAGTAAACAGTCTGATTTACTGGCTCCTAGTTTAGGCTGATGTTTTATTGTGGCAAAGAGAAGAAGTTTTATCTTAATGGGGAATATATCACTCTCCCACACAAACCACAGCAGACAGGAGTGAAGCCTAGTTTAACTCTGGCAGGCACTAAATCTCATCCAAGCCTATTTTAGAATTAAACGGAAGATGACCTCGTTACCTGGGCCCCTCCAACCTCACCGTGAAATCACTTGAGGACTGAGCCAGGGCATTGCTATCAGCAGCTAGAGTCCAACAACATTCAAACCAAAAAACAAACCAAACAAAAAACCCTCTTTTGTTGCACTGGTGTAAAGTTCTGTTACTAATCTGTCTGTGGCATAAATCCTTCCTGAGAAGCAGTTTTACCCCAGTCAATTTGCACATGGCTTGCAAATGCTCACCTACACCCTCCCTTAATAACTTAATACGAGGAACTTATCCATATGTTTTCCTACTTTTTAAAAGCAGATATCTTAAAGTCTTCCTTATTTTCCCCCCCATGAGACATCATTAATGAAATACCAGTTAAAAATATCTTCTAAAGATTTAAATTACCACATTAGAGACTCTCCTAGAATGAACAACAGAAAAGGCATGTTTTAATTACAGGAGTTATGAAACCAGATCAAACCATTATAAGGCAAAAACAGTTTCCTTCTTTAGCAGAGAACATATTTTCCTATAAATGTGCTTATTCTGAAATACAAATATTCTAATTAAATTTTTCCAAATGTTAAAAAAACTAACTTGTGCTTATTTTTTCTTATTTTTCTGTGCCAAACCAGTAACAGTCCAAATCTGTTCCAAAGGAAAACGTGATGCTCAGCAGTAGTTTAATGAATTGTTTTGACCAAGTGAAATATACCACATCCACTCCTAGTAATGAGACACTTGGCAGAAAGTATCACATCACAAGAACAATAGCAGCAGACCATCATTATGGTCCACAAAATACTGTAACCTCTGAGCAATCTCTCTTCAGACAATGGAAGGGGAAGATAAGGTAACATTTCTACTTAGCTAACGGCATGTGCAGTTGTTGGTGGTGGTGCTTTAGCCTGTAACATTTTAAGTTTATAAGCATTTTAATCATAGGAAAAGGTTTATAAATATTTTCATTTGCCTTTTATTTTTTTTTAACAGATTATTCTTAGTAAAACTTAAAGCTCGTGTTGCTTTCTGACTCAGATTACAGAGACTTTTAATTAAACAACAGGTGTTTTAGTATAAAATACACTAAAATACCATCGCAGCATCAGTTTTTGAAGACGACATGTCTGCCTGTGTGACATTTTAATTAGATTTGGGGTGAAGGCAGACAGGAAATCAGTTTGTTTTTCTGGCTTTATCATCTTTTGATAGAATTACCACTCTCTGTTACTGGAACAGAAAGTACAACCCTACACATACATGATCTGATGTTTAAAAGAAGATGATAGAGCAGAAGTGGAAAGGAAAATGACAAATCTGTATCCATAAATAAAAATATGGTCATAGACATCATGTCGTGCTCAACACTAAAATGAAAGAGATAAAACAGTTGAGGAAATGAAGGGACAGAGACTGCAAAACATCCAACATTACTGCTACACCAGGAAAGCTGAGCCTAGCTAGGTCATGATGAGATTTTACTGAATGTGTACATGCAAAAGTTTTAACGTTATCTTCAGAGTTTTGCAACAACAATGAAATGATCTTTCTGGAGGTTCTCTTGGAAGGGATCACAAGTAATGGAAAAATTGCCATCAGGACACAGAGGCACAAGAAAAGGCCCACAGCATCAGTCTCGGATGCTATTTAAAAAAGACTGAAGGTCTCAAGAAAACAGAAAATTGGATAGCCTTCTATAAATATATTATTTTTGTCAACACTGTACTTGTGACTTAGAAAATACAATTTCTACAGTTCTAGTATGTGCACTGAACCTCAAGACCATTTTCAGATTTATTTTTTTTTAACACAAACTGCATCTCTCAGAATAAGATAATGAACTGGCATGTGTTACATTGTCCTGGGTTGAGTGAGTGGTGGAGTTTTTTGGTGGCAGGGGAGGGGGCTATCGGGGCTACCCCCTGTGAGAAGATTCTCGAAGCTCCCCCAGCTCCAAGTCAGCTCCACTTCTGTTTGGAAAACTGAGCCAATCGGCTGCGCCTCTGTGATAACGTATTTAAGAAGGGACGTGGTGATGGGCAGTGGGACTTGTGAGGAGGAGTTGCTGCAGCTGCATGAACACCAAGGTCAGTGGAGGAACGGAGGAAGAAAGGAGGGGGGAGGTGTGCCGGAGCAGAGACCCCCCTGTATCCTGTGGTGAGACGGCAGGGCGGCCCCCCCTGCCACCCATGGAGATCTACGGTGGAGCAGACATTGATTTGTGGCCTGTTGCTCCTGCTCAGCTGATCAAGGTGCTGTGCCCGAAGAAAGCCGGGGTCTCACGGGAAAAGGCAGCCCCACTGCTGTAGTTCAGTGCTGGGAGGATTGCAGCATGCGGGGGAGTCCCACGCCGGAGCAGCTCGGGAAGGGCTGCAGCCGTGGGAGGGAATCCAGTCGGAGAAAGTTAGTGACCCATGACGGAGCCGTGTGGGGAACGCTGCGGCCCATGGGAGGAATTCATGTCAGAGAAAGTTTGTGGAGGACTGTCTCCTGTGAGAGGGGGACCACGATGGAGCAGGAGGAACAAGTTTCAGACACTCCCCTCACCGAAGATGAAGAAGGAAATGGCAGCACTGACTGCACCCCCCATTCCCTGCCCCTGCGCCACTGGGGGAGGAGGTAGAGATATCGGGAGCAGAGCTGAGCCCAGGAAGAAGGGAGGGGAGGGGGGAAGGTGTTCTCAAGATGTGGCAATGCTTCTCACTGTCCTACTCTGTTATGTGTTGTTAGTGTCTGTAATAAATGTATGTTCTTTTTTTTTCTTCCCCTAACGAGTCTGCCTTTTGCTCATGATCATAAAGGGGGATTTTTCCCCATCCCAGTCCTATCTTGAACCCCAAGCCTGGCTCTCTGTCCCTTCTCATTGCCGGAGGGGAAGGGAGAGAGAGCTGCTGCATTGTGGTTGGCTGCCAACCAGGCCTAAACCACGACATACATAAATAGTACAGCTGGCAGTGATTAAAGTACTTCCACTCATAAATCTTGTGCCATATTTATAAAAGGAAAAGGTATACAGCTATTCTAGATAAATACAATTTAATAAGTGTAAATTAAAGTATCCTTTTCCTACTTCCATGACAAAAAGCACCTTTGTAGAATTTTTCTATATGCATTTTATAAAATAATTTTAAAATAAAAAATACAAATCAGAGTAGTCTGATCTTTTAATTAAAAACATGCTTTGTTACTCAATTAAATTTATTATTCAATTTTGTAAATGTTAAACACTGTAATCTATAGTTTTATCTGGATAATACCTCAAAATGTGTTAAAAGTGCATCTTGTGAGGAAATATATCACCTAACACTCATGTGATATCACTCATATCACAAAAATACCTAGAAGCAGCTCAAGGCTGTAGCTAAAAGGGCAAATGTTAGGACACTGACTGAAATACCCCCAAATTAAGGCATGAAAAAGAGCAGAAAAAAGCACTACTTAATCAACAGATACGAACTTTTCAACCAGCCTGTCTACAGAGTAAAAGCAACACCATTTAATTCACTGAACGTGTTTTAAGGTATTTCTTTCTGAGCTATATTTGGTATACGTGTGTATAGTTTTATATCTGGTTTTATTCACTTGCTTATCATTTGTACTTAAGAAGAGATTACAAAACAGGAAAAAGACACATACTGGTCTTGGGAAGCAGCATCCCAGACCGTGGAAGTGGAGTCATCACCTGGAGAGAAATCCCACAGGTCTCTGCACGACAGAGGTCCCAGGCGGCTGGAAGGTCTGTGTTCAGCAGTCTCCATGGCGACAGCAGTGGGCAGCGCACACAGGGTACCACATCCTCCACTGCAGCCAACGTGCAAAAAAGCAGTCCTGTTATTAGTTTTGCTCTCCTCCTTATACCTCGTAGAGCTTCCTTTTATACCTATTTTTCTTCTTTGAAGACGTTAATCACACAATATGATTATCATCACCACCAGCACTATTAGCCATTAATCATAATATAGTCAGGAAGAGGCTGTGGGGATCAGTGGCACCAGGGCTGGGCATAAACTTTCTAACATCTAAAAAGGAAGTTAATGGACAGTTATACACAACACAAGCAATGCTGGCTAAATGAATTCCTGGTGCAAATCCATTATGGTCAGTAAAATTATTTTTAGGATGAATATGGCTCCGGATGCTTATTGATTAATGAGGAAAATTTGCACACTGAATATTTTATTTATCAAGTTTCTTATGTATACAGCTATTAAGATCAATGCTGGAATAATACTAGAACTTCCATTTTCATTCAAATATCTCCTGGTGCTTTGTGTATATAGCTACTACATAAAACTCAATCAAAATCACATAATGCTTAAATTAAACTACTAACTAACAGGACTTAGTGGAAATACACAGAATATTAGTATTAATTTTAATAGACAGAGACAGTAATATTAGTAGACCAGGATTTCATGGTCAGGAGTCACCTAAAATATAAACCAAAAGGATAGCTTCTGAATTAACTCTTACAGAGCTTGCTATCTAAGTATCAGATGAGACAACAGATGGATTCAGACCGAAAAAGGGGGTATACAAGGAGAAAGGACACAATGTTGGCCAGCACTATAAGCAGTCATACCAATGCACCAGCTGCCCGCCTGCCTCAGGAGTCCTTATTTCCTGAAGGAAGAAAGTTTGCCAGAGCCAGTGTTATTCATTATTGTAGGGCTGCCAACATTTTCCCTCTTCTGAAAGACAAAAATGTGTATACCATGTAAAGCCCAAGAAATATAATACCAGTCTCACTGAAATCTTCAAAAAAAGTACATCACTGACATGAGTTAGATCGAGATTTCACTCAGATATTTTCCTATTTCTTCAAGTTCTGATTACTTTCAAAAGCCAGTACCTGGAGATTAAAGTTTACTGTGAAAAGTATAAAAAAAAAACCCAAACCTTGGATTGTTAGTGTGATTCCGTTCATCATTACATGCCAATAAAGACACGGAAATCAGCATTTTATAGCCTGGCATGATGACAGCTATTTACTTGTGAATTTAAAAGCAGTATAACTATTTTGTTTTAACACATGAAATGTAACTATCAGTCATCAAACATTCTTTATCATTTAAATGCATTTCTTTGGCAAATGCAAATTCATGTATTATACTAGAAACTAATAACTATTTCACAGCAGGGTATGAGTAGCTCTTCATTCATTTTTTATTATATAGTTGTATCTATTACATGTGTGAAAGCTCGCTTTAGCTGCTTATATGAGGCTTTTAGGCCAGAATAGCATTTCACTCAGCAGCTGATACTGAAAAGCACTAGTTTAATTCAATAATTACTCCTTTAACTTTCTCACGTTTCAATTCCCAGCTCAAAATATTACCTTTAATTCAAAATACAATAGGAAATTGCCTAGTTATCTAGTTCTTTAACAATGTATGTAGTATGAGGCACTTGAAACTAATTTAATCACTGTCTGTAGCCTTTGCACTAAGTAGTGGTTAACAAATGAGCTGGTTAACTCATATCCCTTAAATGATTTGCTTTATATACCCAAGGAAAAAAATCATCTCCTAGCTGTATTTCTGATCAGTGACACAGTATCTTGACTGCAGCAACCTGGTCATTTATTCTTTTCCCCTTTCATTTCAGTAAGTGTATCTTTCAACAGTAACCTCAGAAATGCCTTCTGGTCTAGCAGACTCAATTCTGTGATTTCTAGCATCATTTGCATTTTCATTATTTAGAATGATTTTACATTGCCTTTTGTTCCTTATTACTCTCGTTAAATGACTGTGGAATCAAACTTACTCATTAAAACATCTTTGGTGAAGGCTCCTTTCTGAATAATGCTTTACATTTAGTTTCTTTTCAGAGTATAATTTTTAAAGCTTGGCATTTATTAGACAAACAATAATGAAGTTGTGAGGCCTCCGAAGTGATTAATTTTTGAGACCTCTTTCTAATCTTTTAATTTAAATCTTAATTTGGCATTAGTTTAAAATGAGAAAGTGAAATCTATTTTTCACTCTAATCCTAAATCAATATTAGTTCAGAGAATTATTTAATCTGAGCCAGAGAGCATATATTTTACCATTATAAGTAATCTGTGGCAGTGAATATATCTAATGCTGCTTAAAAATTTCAGTCCACAGAAAACTCATAACTTCCTATTTCCACAAATCACAATAAGTCCATTTTTTTTTTCCAGACACCTTAATACAATTTTGTCTCTCTGTAGTCCTTCTCTGTATACTGGTCTTGCTTAGTTGATGTTAATGGGTACCTACAAATGAGGTAGTTAACACATCCCCTAAAACATTTCCTTTAACATCTGTAGAAAGATTCTTCCACTGAAGACACATCAAAGCAGCCCTCAGAAGTAATTGAGCTGAAGTATATTGGAAAAAAAAACATGATTTAAATGCAACAGTTTGATTACATTGCAACGTGTTGAGATTATTTATTACATATATCTGCAAAATCACTACAATTTAATGAATCCTTCCAATTTAGTTGAATCAGTATTTCTTAATAGAAAACCAGGTTTAATCAGTATTTCCCAGAAAAGAATGGTAAATAATGCAAAACTTGCTGAATGTAATCTAGGTGCTAAACAAAATAAAAACTCTCCCAATATTTTATTCTGTAAGAAAACCTTACAAATATAATTCCATCCCTGGCATTGGGAATGTGAAACTATTGCAAATGGTGTGGTTTACTTTATGGTTTTGTTTTAAAGAAAATAAAAAGCTAAACCATAAAAAGCTGTTTCCTCTTCCATTGATAGTTACTCTGCTATTATTAAAGCTCTTGAAATTAATTTGTCTCACAAGGCCAACTGGTACATCCCATCCCACAGGAGGGAGTGCTGAGTGACAATGCCTCAATATGTTTCTGACCAAGCAGTGGCTCAGGAAAACCATGGTTGCTGCCAATCATGTATCCATCATATTACTCAACCATCTGAAATGCTTCTTAGCAGGCTGGGTGTAACACCCACCAACAACAGTGGATGTGGGGAGCGGCACTCCACCTTCATCTAGAAGACAGGCAGAGAGGGAAAATCCTCATGTCCCGGAGCTTAAGCTCATCTTTCTCTTCTTAGCGGCAAGCTGGTGGGTAGTAATTGCACTATTTTGTCAAAGACTTTTCAATGTTTTTCAAACTGTCCCCTCCAGTCATGGAATAAGAGGCATATGGTGACGGCTTTTGTAATCACCTGCAGAATTTCCTATCACTTGATGCTAAACCACCCATGGATGTGTCTGCAGTAGCTGCGGTGTTGCTTTACGTCCCTGATGGTCCAGCAACATGGTGGGACTGACAACCACCCAAGGAGAAGAGAAACAATGGAAAAATTGTGCCATTTTTTCCCCTGTCAGAAAAGTTTATAGTAAATTCACTTCCAGTTAAGGGAAATCATAGTACTCTGCAGTGGTCTGCCAGGAAGTACAAAATCAGTTGTGCTATCGGCAAAGTTTTTATTTTCTTTGAGTGAGATTATAGTAAACTTGACAGTTATCTCAGCCAACACTGTAGAAATTTAACACTGTTAAATGTAAACACATTTAATAATTTTTTATCCGATATTAAGAACACACTTCTGTGCTGCATGATTATTTTTCTACATCCACAGCTCTCCCTCATGCGCACTCAAAGGTTAAGACCCTTCCCTTTCCCCTCGAGTGCTGTAATTCTGAGGGACTCTGGGAACTGAGGTTTTTCCAGCGCAGCTTGGTGCCACTGCCACCCCAGCCTCCGGCACAGAGGGCTGCCAGGGCACGCACTGTCCTCCACACCCCCGTAGCTGCTGGAATGGTCCCCAAGGGCTTGTCAGACAGAAGCAAACTGGAGTAGTTCTCATCTTTCACAGACACCAACCCAGGTCCAACTTTACTTTTAGGAATGGGAAGGTTGTAAAGGCACCAGTTAATCATCTGCATTCCTTGGTTTTCTGTTCCAAGTAGCATTCTGGTTTGTCTTTTCCTGCATATTTTAGAAACAACTACGATATTCAATAGATTTTCTATTAAAAGGCATTGTATTCTCAGAGTTAAATTTCTATTATAATTAAGTTTTATTTTGGTTTGGTCTGGGGACATGACAGCAGCTAACCCAATTCACTTTTATAGATCATATTAGATGAATCATAGATGAAGATGATAAGTTTCCTAGGTCATTCAAGGTGAAATAGAATTTCAGACATAATACCTTCTTATAGAAGAAAAAACACTTAGATGACTATTGAACAAGTATTTGCAATAAATTCTAACAAATTGCACTGCAGGAGTAGTGAAAACTGAGACACTGTTCCTCCAGATTTTGTGCCACATGTATCATATCAAATATGAAGCCTTGCTCTCATATGTACAAAGCACTGTATAGCTGTATGAAATCCCAACACTGATGAAACTCTGATTACCACCCACTGAAATGCCCAATTCCTCCCATGCCTTTTTTGCATATTTTTCCTCCTTTGTTGGCTGACCCATCTAGCTATAGTCCTGAAGTGTCTTAGTTTCTGTGCCATTTGGGGAGGTGAGAATTTTCATTTCTAGTAAGAATTTTTATTTCTCCTCTGTTTTTTCTTTTCCTTTTCCTGAAGAATGGTGTATTCTCTAGTTTAAAAAAAATGTTTGAAACAGAGTGTGAGATAAGGAGCACTAATTAATGAAATTACTTCAACACACATACTTTTGTATTTTCCAAGTTCATGCTATGCATTATCAAAAAAAAATCCAGAGTAGATCAACTGGCTAGATTAGTTTGTACTGACAGTACAACAAAAACTCATTTTACAGAAATAAAAATCACAGTTTCACAGTGTGATGAGAAAGAAGGAAAAAATTAAAGGTTGGCCAAAAATATCAAAAACATATGCTTTTTATGAAGACCATACTGCAGAAACTAACTCTTCTCCATGAATAAGCATTTACTCATCCTTGTTAGCAGACATATATGCCTACTTGTCCTGTAACTTAACATTGAAGGCCAAATTAAAAGATGTAATACATCATTTACTAACAAAACAGAAATTATCCATATAAAAAATTTATTATTAAAAAAACTCTTAAGAGAATGTTAACACTGATTTGAATCAATTCCAGGTGTTACTCTGCTTATTATTTGGAAGGTTGTAAGTTTATTCAGTGGAACTTCACTTTGACACAAAAAATGTATGATGCAAAACTGAAACCAGAGTAATAAACTTTGACAGAAAGAAGACATTAATAGGAGCAACTAATGACAAAATAAACTGTAGATCTAAGCAATGGCTAATCAAACCTAAAAGGATTTACCTAATTAATCCTGTGTTGCACAGCTATCCAGATTGCTCTTCCATCCAATCCATATTGTAACTACTCATTACTTACACTTAGCTTTCTAGAAACAAGTGACGTACCACGTAACAAGCTAAACAGTATTACCTATTTTTGAACTGGTTTACTGCACTTCTGTGTAAGCAGTTGGATAATGCACTGCAAAAATAGTTCCAGAGCTCCAAACTGTTTGGAATTAGTTTCTTTTTTAAATCACAAACCAAATGGTAACAGTAAACATTAATTATTTGGAGAGCAGCATTTGTCTTTAGAGGGAACCTCTTTTTTAAAAGAAATTACAGAAAAATAACTTTATGTCTGCATACTTCATGTTTGGTTTGAGTCCATCAAAGAAAATGTACAGGCTAACAAGAAGTGTTTTGTCAAAGAAACCC